TTTAGTAACTCTCGTCAACTAGTAATCTGACTGTTTTATTGAATTTTTCTACTTCCTTGTTAATCCTGATCTTTAGATGATTTATTATTTCTATGTTAGAATGATTCATTAGCTGTTGTAAAATTATATTTATTAGATGAATTTGTTTTCTATCAAGTAAAAAATGTTGAATCTTTTGATTAGATTAATAATGATTATAAGTATGTGTATTGAACTTCAATTTTAGTAAAAATGATGGAAAATGATTTCCTTGTTACCATTATTTTAAGAAACCAATCCAGGTATCTTTCAGTATGCTGTTGAAAAAAATCAAGTAGAAATTAAAAGATAGCGAGTAATCGTTCGTTTTTTCATAACACTATAATTGTTTTAGAAATGGTTTAGATGTTAATGCTCTTTATTGGACAACACGTATACTTCTATTCACTTCTTTTAGCTCTTATAAAGCATCAGTATACAAAAAAATTTATCAATATATAAATATTTCGAACCATATTTTAATAAAGATTTTCGTGTGATTGTGATTCGAATCACAGAAAGAAAACCTATATTCAATATAATATAATACATTAACATATTTTTGTATTAAATGAATCAGGTATACTTTCACGTAGCAGACAGCTTTATGTTCTAGTTTTCATTTAATCTTTTTTCTCAGTCATGAGCGAAAAAATTTGAAAAGACTATTGTTTAATAAGTTTAAAAAAATACTGTGAAAAATTTGAATATCGTCTATATTTCATTTATCAAGATTTGAATTCATCATCAAAATGATTCTTTTTTTTTTCAGTTGTCTTCGCGCCATTTAAATAAGTTCATGTGTCTCATCGTCACTTGTTTGTTGAAATGAAAATAAGAAAAAGCACAAGAAGGCATAAAATTATTGCGATAAGAAATTTTTTTTACGTATGTTTCAATGTAATTATTAATGAATAATTCTCAATCATAAGTATCTATGTTGGAAACAAAATTTATTTTAATAATTTTTTTTCAAATCTTTTTCGGTTGTAAAATCTTTTTCGACAAATGATGATGAAAAAAATTTAGAGATGTTTTGATTCTTTTATAAATAAATTTTTATGTTTTAAACAAAATATAACTGTTTTTCTTAATTGTTTTTGTCGAACTATAATTTACATTATTTATAATATAATAAAATGTATTGTCGTTTATCTTCATACATATAAGGTTGTCTATTTCTCATTAGTCTCTTGACGTCTTATGCGCGCCAAACGTTTATCGTCCTTGTGCGTAGTGTGCACGCGAGGAGCAATAAAAAAAAAAAAGAAAATAGATATTAGTCTTGCTGAAACAAATTAAAAGAAAATCACTTCAGTTTACAAGATTTCTATTGAACACTGTTCATTTTTAGACTTCGACAAATGATATTTTACGTGAAAAGTTATTTGAAACGAATAATTTATTAGTTGGTACAAGTACGAAGTGAGATAATTTTCATTTTCAATAATTTATATTGAATCACGATTATCGAGAAAATGAAGAAAACAGTAAAGATTGTTGTTGATGTATCTATGTATCCATCTGTCGAGTTATTAAATGAACCTCAAGTAATTGATCATATTTCGAAACAAGTATTTGATATTCTGGAAAAAAAAAAGGCAAAAGGCACTGGACAGTGCAATAATTAAAGCTTCTAAAAATGCTGTCTCTCTTCTTCTATCGAAGAAAAAAGGAATTTCACCAACATTCTTATCGGTATATTTGCCAATGAATACAATTGAGTCATCTGATGACACAGTTGTACCTAGTGTTTCATCCGATGATGACCTATTAGAAACAAGTGTTGGTGAAGATGATGACAGTATTCATAGCGATCAAATGTCATCATGTAATTCACAAGGGTCACATATTTCGTTTTCTATGTGTAATAATGTAATGGCAGCGAATGCAACGTTCGAATATCTTTTCGATTATTTTAAACATTCTCTTTCAACTAATAGTAAATCGATGAATCTTGAAAAGATCCTAACGGATGTATGTAACTATGCTTTTCTTGAACTTAAATGTTCTGTGAAGATTCGTATCTTGAAACAAGAAATAAGTCGTCAAATAAGTCAGATAGTGCAATCGGCACGTACACATGCCGCCGGAAGAAGTGTTATCGGAATTTTACGTACAAAAAATGTTTTCTCCTTTATTTTCAAATCTATTGACTCTCTGAATCGAGTTGAACCATCGATGGGATTTAAAAGATATAAAAATGATGATTGTTTAAGTCCAAGTCTTTTGATTCGAGAAAGTAATGATGAAACTGCTATTCTTCAATTTTATCCATTTTCAAATATAATTGACATAACTATCAATGAAACATTAGTGAGAAACGCATTGTCTTCCTTTGATCTAGTACGAGCAGTAGATATCAGTGAGATTTCTAATCTGATTTCACAATGTGTCGTAACATATAACTTAAATTTAGTTGTACCGGTTTTTGAAGAAATCCTTAAAACGAAAATATTGTTTGAGCGTGGTACATTAAACTCTAGTTATTTTC